CCTTTTTTTATGATAGTACAAGGTGAGGCATCTCAGTCCGTTACAGGAATTCAGTCATTCTCTTGAGTCCCCAGTGGTGAGAACTGCTAAGAATCAGATGGCGGCTGTCACTTCATGTGGCCTCCTGCTGCCTCAGCTGGCCTGGAAAGGGTTAATTCCCCCTCAGAGGTGCTCAGGTTTCCCGCCAGCTGTCTGTACCCTCAGCTGTTTGTACTCTCGCCCCTACCCTGTCCCCTGTCCCCAAACCTCACACAGGTCTGTCTCTGCTTTGCCTGCCGAACGCAGACACTCTGCTACTGCTGTGGCTATGAAGTGCTACATGCCACCACAATGCTATTAGCTTAACGCACTTTATCTTCAGTGTTAACTAGAGCTGTTGGCTTGATTTTTGTTCTGACCGCTATCCTCTTCGTCCGTGGCCATCTTATAGATATTTTTACCTGTTGTCATGCACACAGTAATATCTGTAACCCCACACCGACGCAGTGCGAGTTATTCCCATTTGTTCTGATTTTTAGTGAACATTAATGAAACAACTGTTACTTCAACCAAAATTGGAAAGTCTCCTAGGCAAATGAAGACGTGTTGACAGCTGCGTCACGGTCTGACTGTCAGCGATCACTCAGTGATGAATAACAGGCCTGATATCTGGTAGGTGAATGGATGACAGATTGTTGTTGCGTGATTTTATTCCATTTTCCTTTTTGTTTGAAAGGGCAGAACAACTGTGAGTCCTCTGTGTGGCCCTCCCCCTTTGACTTTCCAGCTGCTGTTTAACTAAAGAGGTAAAGGACCTTGGACTGTCAGAGCCCCTCAGCAGGTCCTCGATCTGAGATGAGAAAATTAGCTGCTCAGCACTGTGTGGCTCTGTATACTCTTGATTCAGGGCAGCTTGTACAAGACAATACCGGCTTGGCCGTCTGTTCATCAAGAGGGCCAGAAAACTCTTCGGTTAGCAGCAACACCCTTGATCATTTGTTAATCCTCTGAGTTTTTAAATTCATCAAATAAACAACCTTTTGTTGAGTCATTGCAGGGAGCCATACTAGCAGACTGTCTTTAATGTTAGGATGTTAGCTGACTGGGAGCCAATCCGTATAGTAGCTGCATTGAAATGTTTTCATGGTAGTGTAGTGTGTGTTGGAAGGCCTTATCAGTGGAGTCCATGCTGGATCATCCACCTCTCACCCATGTAATCAGTCACATATAAAAACCAATAGTGCTTTGCTAAGGGAGGCTGGCCTGGCTTGCTTCCACACGGCCTTTCTGTCATTGATAATGAATGTGCATTTTAAGAATTTCAAGCCTATGGGATGCAACACACTTTATTGCACTTGTTTGCTCATTGTAAGCCTGTCTGTTGTGACACATGGCTGTTGTTTCCATATAACAAGCCTTATTCACTCACCTCAGCTGTTATACTGCTGCAGTATATCGATAACTTTGCATCTATGACACAATAGCTTTGGCCCAGTTCCGAGGCCGGATCCTCCAAAGGACAAGGCCTGCAAAGGTATGTCCTTTATCGAACCTGAGGTCCAAGCTGAGCCTGCTTAAAAATGAAATATTGATTTGATGTTAATAATGCACATGATAATTTCATGTAAATATCATCCAGCTCCTGTTAAATAATTTCTGTTTCATACCGTGTTCACTTTGTCTCCCTCCCCCAACTGCATTCTCACTATCCATGAGATGTAATTGCTCTTTTTGTCCAGTCCATGCTTTTGTCCAGTTTCGGTTACAGACTCCCTCCTCACCTTCCCACTCTCGTTGTTTGACTGTAATTCATTTGCCAAAAAAGAGACAACACTCACAGTAAACAAAGTTAAAGATGAATTTGGCTGACGGTATTATTATTATTATTATTATTATTATTATTATTATTATTATTATTATTCAATTTTCCATACATATAGTATGGAAAATACTCTTTTGGCCATGATAATCATGTAGTGAAAATCTGATATCATGGCAGCCCTAACTTCAATACATGAAGACTCAAAGTTCAAAGCTGAAATCCCCAGGGTTACCTGGTATAAGATGGTATGCAGTATAGAACAGACAGGGAGGGAGAGGGAGTGATAATGTACAGCAAAGTCTGGGATTGAGGAGTTTATAACCCGTTATGGGATGCTGAGGACCGAGGCAAACGAAAGCTGCATTTTTTTTTTTTGGCTACATGTGGAGAAGCCTTTGAAATGAGACAGTCTATCATGATGTCCTCTATAACCACAGCATATGTATCCATGTTGGACTTGGGATCACACCTACTGTAGGGTTAGGGAGAAAATCAAATATTGCAATACTTTTTTTTTTCTTTTTTTTTTTTACCAGTTACCTTGATATTGATATTGTGACGATATGGAAGGGTTGACTGTTGGTGCTTTCATGATGAGACTTTTGCAAAATAATCATCAGTAATGTGGATATAATGACTTAAGTGAATGAAGGCAGAAAAAAGAACAGCTACAACAATGTTGTAGGTATAGAAAAGTACCTCACTATACTTTAATGCAGCCTTTGAAACCAGGGCAAGACAATACTTGGGATATTACGACATCAAAGACATCAAAAATCATGATATAATACAATATATTGCCCAGACCTAATCACACCAATTATTAACATACACCAATAGGTAATATTATGCCACTACTGATGTGTCTCAGCAACATCTCTGTATCTATGCTCAGTCAAACCATCTAGGAGCATTAAACCCACAGGACCATGGAAACTCTTCCATGCCTTCTAATGTGTAGGCTTGTTCCCATGCTGCTATTACAGATCATTAGTATCAAGTGGTAAAGTGTTTGTATAAGTGTGTAGAACCAGGCATGGTGGGTTTAGATGTGCTTTATAGTCCCGGCCTAACGCCTACCCTGCTCTTATCATGCAGCCCACTCACCAGCACATCCTGCTCTGCTGTTCAGTGCTCACATTAGCGTGTGCTACCATGCTACGTCTCACCTCCATTGATCTTAAATTTATGTGAGCATCTCGTCTGCCTGATCGCTACATGTTTTACTGAGATGTCATGTTACATGGTCAGGTAGTTGTCATAGTAACTCCGTGAAAAATGAGAGCAGAAATAATGTTTTTGTTACTCTTCAATAGAGTTTGTCTGTGCAGTGGCTGGACCTTAATTGTAGCAGGGTAAGCAGGTAGATGATGATGGGTCATGTGTGGCAATATTCAGAGAGGATACACAGTCATGTTTCTACAAACCTGTTTTGGATTTTATATCTTTTCCTCTGTTGGTCATTATGTATTATGGAGTAGCATTTTAAAAGGATTGGATATGTTTCTCAGTTAGTGCTAAGCCACAATCCTCCACTAATATTCCAAGACATGATTTTATTTTTCCAACTTAATGTAACTGTTGGCTCTTTTTAGACTCTTTGTAAGAATTGATTGGTCAGAGAAACACTCACTGCTCTGCTAAGTGTTTTACATATGGATGCAATTAGAGGGTCCCAGCCTGTTTCTCTACCTTGTTTATGTCATTTGCCCTTCGTCTATTAAACCCTCTCTGGTTTCTGTCACCCATCCATTGATCCCTGAAAACACTGCAAGTATTAAAGCCTCCTCCTTCCGCTTAAAGAGGAAAGGCCCCATTAACGGTGTTATTTTAGGTGGTCTCATGTGAAACTTTCCTGGTGTTGCTTTTGCGGTCACTGGGATAATGACTTATAGCAGAACAGAGCATGAACTAGTGCGTCAGTTTGAAATACAAGCAACTGATGATGTCATCAGGGTTATCTTGGACTTGGCTTGAGCTTGGCTCGAGACAGTGTTACAAACTATAGATGTGGGGGTCATTATTTGACTGCTTACATTTCTGGCATTGTGTGCATTTGGTCTTTGCACCTTATTGATAACCTGTACTATTATTTTTTTGTTTATCTGCTCTGCACAGTTATTCAGTTTGTATTGTAACTGTAACAGTTTCCCCCTGGATGAATATGTTTTTATCTTCTCTTACTGAAAGCTGTTGGCATTAACCAGCCAGGGAAAGCCTAACAATAGACACTACTGAGTTGCATTATGGGAATTGAAGGAGCTTGGCCATAGACTGTGTAAAATAATGGACGTAACCACCGTGACATCACCCTTTGGTTTGTTGACCCCTGTTTTGAAGCCTCGAGTTGACAATATTTAAACAAGAAAGTGGAGATAACTCTAATGCTAGCTGCTAGCTTGGTTAGCATGATGCATTTACAGTTATGGTTAACTGTGATAATGCTAATGCTAATTTTCGCAAGTGAAAAACAGGCTTAAAACAAAATGTACTTTGCAAAAGATTGAATATCCAACTCCTCAGAGGGTTTTTTAGGATATCCAAATGCTGAACAAGATTTTATTAGAGGACCAGAACACTACAATGAACTTTTCGTGAACTGAAAACACACTGAAATAGCTTTGGCTACGCCAATACTCAATCTGTCATTCTGTGGTCATGCCATGCTTATATTACCTAACCAACATTGTCATTGTGGTAGAGACTTGTCAACTGATGGTCTAACCTGTTACTCAAAGCGGCCACGCCCTTAATTATGCATAACTTGTCATTAAGAAGAAAATCAGGGACCAAAACCATTTGTTGTACCAGGCCGTAAACATGTTTATTCCTGCTGTGAAGTTGGCTATTTTAATGTGGGTGGCTACGGGCATTGACTTGCTCTTGGAGGCAGCCTCAAGTGGCCATTAAAGAACTGCAGTTTGCACTTAAGCGTTGGCTTTATTTTCCTGCTGGAAGATTGCCGCTTGAGCTCGACCCATACTTAGGATGATAAGTCTGGATATATCGGTGGCTGATCTTCACAATTCCTTTTTAAAACAGTCTCTTGCGAATCCTGTAAGTTCATGGAAGGGTTATACTAAATTGCTGGCATTGCCCTCAACTTACACCTTCTTCCATGACAGAGTCCAGTAGTAATTAAATTAAATCTAATGACCTTCTCCTGTCTTCTACTAATAGCGTTTCCTTTCTCTCACAGGATACACTTAAGCCGACATTTACGGTAGCCAGCCTACCAGGCAGTACCAGCAGCACCCAATGCACAGTGCCCACCACCTCCACCACCATGCAGGTGAGCAGTGGGCCTTCGTTTCCCATCACCAACTACCTGGCACCCATCTCGGCCAGCAGCAACGTCAGCGCCAACGGTACCGTCCTCAAGACCACCGGCGCCTCAGCGGGGGTTATGCAGCTGCCCGGAGGCTTTACTTTCATGCCTGGTATGTAGGAGAGCAAAACAATGGCTGTCTTCACCTCAACATCCAGAGCTCTGTCTGAATTCTTAATTATTATAATTCTTAATTATATTCTTTATGGTTTGTTTATCTTAAGCTCATCCTCTTGAACTGCCGCTTCTGCAGGCTTCATGTTTTGTTAATGTCACTGTGTTGTCTAGCTTATTAGCTGATTAGAATTTGAATGGCACTGTGCCGTGACCTCAGCTGTCTCGGGGTGGTCGTGCCTCTCTCTTCAAGCTGTTTACCTCACACAACAGCCCTTCATATCCAGTCATCAGCACTCAGTGGCCTCGGGTTTTTACAAAGCCCTCAGTATCCAGGAAAGCCACATCTATTGGCGACTGGCCCTGCCTTTGATTGTCACTTGGGGACAGGAATAATTAGGTGAGAGGGACACAATAGACCTGGCAATGAGGGATGACGAACATGGCCCATAATTAGTCATGAATATTCAATGAAGGATCGGTGGCTTGTGCTGAAATTATAATTGAGACGTACTTTGTGGAGCCGGAGCTTTTTGACAGAGTGGTCCTGAACTAGACATGACCCTTCATTAAAGGGGACTTCACAGACACACTCTTAAACACAAGGGACCTCTACCGCACCAACTCAATGAGGAGTTTGGGACGACAGGCTCTGATTTGGGGATCCCTAAAGTGTTTCCAAATTGGCTTTTCCCCAGTAATTATTCAGTTCACTTCCTTTTCATGGTCGATGTGCTGGGAAATACTGGGGCCTCAAAGTGGAGCCAGGGGATGCCAAGAGGTCACGGTTTCCCAAATGACATCATGAATACTTAAATATCACAATATTTTAATTAGATATTATCTTATCTGTTTAAGAAGCTCAGCGCTGTGGAATATTTGTTTGGACTGAAAGAGGCTGGTTGACATTTAGGTGCACTCTTTACTACAGTGTATGTTGTTGTTGTTAACATGTAGACAGGAGTGTGTGTTGCAGCTGTGAAGCAGAACAGGCCCTGTGCTCGGCTGTGTTGTATTTTCTAAGTACTTGCAGCAATGTCACAAGCTAGTTGTTGCAGTGTATTGGTTGCCTGCCACATCTGAACAGACACCATGACCACTAGTAGATCCTGTGTGTTATTATGACTGACAGCTGAAAGACAGCCATGTCTCTGTCCCCCCTCCCCTTTTTTTTCTTTTTCCATCTTTCTCCTCCCTCTCCAACCTTCTCTCTTTTTCTCTTTTTTCCACCCTCTCTCTCTCTCTCTCCCTCTCTCCTCTTCACCACCTGTCTGGCACATAGCAGCAGTGCCAGGTGGAACAACACACCCTCCCACACTAAAACCTCCTCAGTTGACAGCTTGAAACGGCCTGCCCACCCTACTGCAGCAACTGTTTATGGAGCATGTGACCAAATGTGAGGGTGTAACTCCAGAGTCATGTTCTGAAATGAAATATCTGCCATTTGTTGAAGAAAACACTTTGATAATAAGCAAATGAAACAAATCGCGCACCATTTGAAAAGAATTAAATGTCAAGGTGGTAGCCAACTGTTTAATCACCACTTCATACAGTCATACAGTAGGCGTCACTTGACTTAGCAACCACGTACGTATTGAATCTACCGTATGTAGTGTTGAATGTTAGCATTATTTTCACTGACCTTTTTGTAAAAACATTGAACTTTATGGTGATGTTTTTAATGTAACATCAACTTAAAGGTACCCTGTGTGTGGGAGTTTTTGACCAATAGTTGCGCTACGGAGAAATGTTTTTACAATTGGGTCCCTGTTTTTTTCACAGTGTGCTACTTGTAATACGGTTGAGCAATATGATACTTTATAACATGTGACAGTAGAAAGGTAATCACTGCTAGAGGAGATATGGTAATACCGTTTCTACCACGAGAGCTAACTAGGGTGCGAATTTGCATTTCCAGGATAGCGAAGACATGACCCGCCCCCCTCTGCCTTACTTTGCCTCTGATTGGCTTACCCCAACATTGTTACCCTAGGACCCTACAATACCAGAATAGCGACACACGTTGGTCAAGCGGAAAGTTGGTCACGTGCCCTCTAGTGGCGGGATAGCACGTTGTATCCGACCAAGAACTGACTGAACTTCAGTCTTGCTGCATTGCTGCCGACCAGGAATTCTTGTGCGTTTCCAAAGTCAAGCAAACCTAAAAGCATAAAGCGAGAAGTATACTTGCTGCGTGGCCAAATGTACGTGTACACGGTGTGCTGCACCTGTTTGTATACTTGCTGCAGCACAGACGTTCGTCGATGCAGCCAAAACGCCTGATACTGGTGGTCTCCGCTAGGAGCAGACCGCAGCACTCAGACACAGAGGTCGTGAAAAAGCGAAAAAGGCAGTGACAGTGTATGTCCGGATAAACACGAACATGGACACTCTCGATGAAGAGGAGATCATAATTTTATAGCTGTTAAGATCTCGACAGAGGAAAAGGCGGCGTCTCCGCCGCCATCGTAGATAGTATGTGCAGCCCCTTAACCAATCACATGGGGAGTTTGTTTCCCTTGTTTTACCCATGCGAGCAATCAATGAGGAAAAGCACAGGGAATATTTCCGCATGTCCGTCGATGCTTTCAATGCCATTGTGATGACCTCCGACCTCACATTCACAGTCTCTAGGTATACTTTGCATGAGTGCCTCTAGTGTTCATGTCAATATTGAATCTCGCATACGTGTCAGGCTACCTCGCACCAAAGTGTGTGGTCTACGCACCAAACGACTGCAAAATACACATGGCAGCCAAACGTGCACGCGTTTCGTGGAGCAAGTATACTTTAGCCATAATCAACCATAATCTACCATAATAGTAGCTCGGTGACCCATTTACAGGTAAAAAAAAACAGTTGTATACCATAATGTTACTCTCTACATTTTGAAATAAACAAATTATAAGCATGACTTAATATGACCAAGATAACTAAAAGTAAAAAGAAGGCTGTTTTCATCAACTTACAAGCAGGTGCACGTCAGACATACTGTAAGTGAATGGGTTTTCTGGTCGGAAAGGTAATGCCTTCATGCCCCACTAGAGGGCACGTGAGGCTTAACTTCAGCATACCGCAGGAGTCAATGGAAGTGTCGTCACTCTGGTATTGTAGGTTCTTACCAGTCGCACTCCTCTTGCCTAAACCTAACCAATCCAACCAACAAAGGCAACCAGTTTTAGCCAATCAGTGGGAGAGTAGGGCGGGTCATTCCTTTGCTTTCCTTGGAAATGCAAATTCACATTCACAGGGCAGGCTACGTAGCATATCATGGCTGGATTCTCGTGATTCTCATGATTCTTGCAATCTTGCGAATACAGCTCTCTCACAAGATAGCACTGTTTGCACAGACATGGTCGACGAGAGTGAAAATACAGGAAATTTACAATGTAAATACAGAAACCTGTAACACTTGAAATAATTTTTCCCAGGAGCCTTTAATTTTGAATGAATTATAGAGTTGATTAATTCTATTAACTTATTCATTCATTTATCTTCTTACCGCTTCATCCTCTTGAGGGTTGCGGGGGAGCTGGAGCCTATCCCAGCTGACATCGGGATCGGGTCGCCAGACTATCGCAGGGCTGACACATAGTGTCTTTGGACTGTGGGAGGAAGCCGGAGTGAACCCACGCTGACACGGGGAGAACATGCAAACTCCGCACAGAAGGGCTCCCACGCCCGGGATCGAACCGGCAACCCTCTTGCTGTGAGGCGAGAGTGCTAACCACCACACCATCTTGCCGCCCCCTATTAACTTATTAACTTTTATTTTTACTCAAGTAGTGTCCAGTGTGAGGCAGTTTTTTTCATTGTTGTCTCTCAGGTTATTACCCAACCATCTCTTAATTGGATTTACAGTACAATCAATCAATCAATCAATCAATCAATCAATCAATCAAACTTTATTTGTATAGCACTTTTCATACATTAAAAATGCAGCACAAAATGCTTCACAGAATAAAAACAAACAAAAATAATACATACATATTGAAAACCTGCCCCTCCCATCCCCACATATAAACACACACACACACACACACACACACACACACAGTCAATATAGTCAATAACATGGCTGGGCACTGAGGAACCAGGTGAGGAAAGAACCACCTATGGGGAGCCATCCACACTGAGAGGCACTACAGCCCACGGCCACAGGGAGCGCCGCCACAGAGACCACCCCGACCAGACAGACCGGGGTGGACTCCATACATGGTGTGGAGATTAGGAAAAATTAAAGAGTTAAAGATTAAAATAATATTAATAATAATAATAAATAAATAAATAAATTAAGATTTAGAGACTAAAATGCATAAAGATTTAAAAATAAATAATTTAAAAGCATTAGAAAGTAAAAAGAACATATAATAGAAGAATTAAAAGAGTAAAATAAATCAGTTAAAAGCTAAATTAAAAAGGTGAGTCTTGAGCCTCCTTTTAAAAACATCAACAGTCTCTGCAGTCCTGATGCTCTCCGGCAGGCTGTTCCATAAGTGAGGGCCGTAATGGCTGAATGCAGCCTCCCCGTGGGTTTTTGTTCTAACTCTTGGAACAATTAAAAGGCCTGTGCCAGAGGACCTCAGGATCCGCGAGGGTTGATATGATAAAAGCAGGTCAGATAAATAAGATGGCCCAAGACCATTAAGACATTTAAAAACTAATAAAAGAACCTTAAAATCGATCCTGAAACACACGGGGAGCCAATGCAGCGATTGTAAAACTGGTGAAATGTGCTCCCGCCCTCTGGTCCTCGTCAGCACTCGTGTGGCTGAGTTTTGGAGTAGCTGCAGGTTAGAGATGGTCTTTTTGGGAAGACCAAACAGCAGGGCATGGAAGACCAGACAGCAGGGCATACAATGACTGTATCATGATATATACTGTTACTGTGATATAATATTACATATACCATAGACTATTTTGGCCATATCGCCCACCTCTACTTTAAAATTAAGATCCTTCATTGCCGCTTGCTTTGTTGTGCAACAGTCATGTTATCTACCCAATTACAGAACTTGCCAGGTGGATAAATAATATTAAATGTTTGATGACGTATAACATAAGTAAAAAAATGTCAACTTTGCATCACTAGCTAAACAGGGCGTTCACCTGTACAATTAGCACTTTTTCAAGCTGTGCTATCCTTTCGCACTCAGTCTCAACCCCCCTCTGTGTGTGTGTGTGTGTGTGTGTGTGTGTGTGTGTGTGCCCCTCCAGCAGGCACTCCTCTCCCCCCTGGCACCCCCACCATTCCTCTGAGCCAGCTGCAGCAGCACTCCCTGGCCCTCCAGGGGCAGCATGGTCAGGCCCTGGCCGCCGCCCCACAGCCACAGCAGGGACAGCAGGCTGTCTTCCGCTTCCCTGCTGCTGTCTCCCTCACAGGTGACCTGCTCTGCCACGACTGTGCCTGCTTTATACTAATCACAATCACATCACCATGAAGCTGCCGCTGCTGCTGCTGCTAGGACTGCTAATGCTAACTCTTCTGCTCTACTAATAATCATGCACCTAATGATTACTAATGCTACTTGCACAACTACTTCTTCTACCTCAGCGAATAGTGCTGCTTCTACCGCTGCTGCTACCATATGCCAACATTCATGACTCGTGATGGCATACAGTAGCATTTATGAAGTTTCACCTGTGTGCAACCCACCATCAGAATTTTAGTTTGGCCTAAATATGCAAATGTAACAGCATCTCATCTCAGTGAGTGGCAGCAGGATCCTCTTGTGTGTTGCTGTCCCACAAGAATAAGGTTGTGTTGTATTCCTCCTACATGCACTGTTTTTCTTTCTGCTCCTGATTGAGCTGTGTCCTCAAGAACAGTGTTATTCTGCCACTACACACTGCTCAAGTAGGAGTTAGCCCTGGAATTGAGATAGATATTAAGCGCCATCTGCTGCCAGCCAGTGCTACCATATGCCACCCTCACTGCTGCAGTCCCCATACTGCAACTCCAGCTATTCCCTGTGTGGGATGTTTGATGACTTACTGTAGTGGCTGTATGCCCTCTGTGTGTCTCCAGGCGCGGGGGTTCCCCAGCAGCTCCAGGCGATCCAGGTCCACCCCAACACCCAGTCCACCTCCAACAGTGACAGCAGCCCGGACATCTCCCACACCTCCACAAACTCCACCGGTAGGTCACACCCAGAAGCAAAACTGTCTTTTTTTTTTTGTTTTATTGGTGAATCGGCTCCATTTTTGCCATTTTACCACAAAAAATGTCAAGTGCAGAATCTAAAATTAAACTGTAATGATATGCAAGCTTTTATGAAGTTCACTTTTGTACAAACCCACCATCAGAATTTTAGTTTGGCCCAAAAGTGCAAATATAACAGCATCTGAATGAGTGGCAGCACTTTGCACAATTTTTCAAGAAAATTATATTGTGTGGTGTTTTTCTTTCTGCTCTTGTTTGGAATGAGCTGTGTCCTCGAGAAAAGTGTTATCGTGCCACTACACGCTGCACAAGTAGGAGTGAGCAGTTGAATTTTGACAGATATTAAGCGCCATCTGCTGGCCAATGTATGCTCACACCTTTTGCCCTCAGTGTGACATTTACTTTCTCTCCCTCCTCCCTTCCCCACTGCTCTCTCTTCCAGCAACAGTGAGTCTCCCAGCAACCATCGTCACCTCATCAGTGCCAACGTCTGTCGCGGGTCACATGATGTACCCCAGCCCCCACACAGTGATGTACGCCTCCACGCCAGGGCTGGCTGACGGGGGGCTGGCCGTGCTCAACGCCTTCTCCCAGGGCACCTCAGCCATGCAGGTTTCCCATGCACAGGCCCAAGACACAGGTGAGCAACACAGGCTTGACACACACACACACACACACACCGCCCACTGGGTTGTGCATAACTTCAAATAAACACATTGCAATTCTTCTTCCCTCCCCCAGGTTCTGTCCCTCAGGTGTTCCTCACAGCACCTCCAGGCACGGTGCAGATCCCCGTCTCAGCGGTGCAGCTACACCCAGTACGGCAAGATCTGCATTTTACAAGTGAAACTCTCATATTCCCTATGCAACCAGCATGCCACGTGACCTCACTAATGCATCCTAACAGCACTGGCACACAGAGGCCTCAGGAACATCACCTGTTGCTTCTTTTGTATGAATGATCAGCTGGCAGCTTGTTTTATCTGTGATTTTCAGCAAAGTACACATGCAGTAGACTTAACGAAACACCACTGTAGCAGTGCATGGGAATCAAAACTTGGATGTTTTTTTATCCACTTTCGAAAGTCTAGTCTTACAGTGAATCACGGGGAGTTGCTTTTGGTAAACTGGCTTAAAATATATAGGTATTTTGATTATATGCACCTGTAAAGTCCTTCCTTCTAAATTGCGCTCCACATATTCTGATTTCATAGATTAAAGACGTTAAATATTATAGAAAACGTCAGCATCTTTTACAGCAATACACCACCCTATGACAAACAGCATGTAGTGTAGCAGGACTTCCATCTGTGCTGGGTGTTGTGTGATGATGCAATTGGCTCTCTGTTCCATCTCCTGACGTAGCTGTGTTGTGTTCCAGATGGTGATTGGCCAGCAGTCGAGCGGCAGCAGCAGTAACCTGACGGAGCTCCAGGTGGTCAACCTGGACGCAGCACAGAACTCAAAGGGCGACTGACAGACGGCTGGAGCTGTTGAACACGGCAGACCCAGGGACACACAGACAGACAGACTTACTGACATCTCTATTTATTGATGCCTTCCTACAGAGTTTCACATCACACTTCTGAATGTGACTTTAAAGTACATA